CCATCACCCCTCACCATCACCCTCACCATCACCCCTCTCATCACCCTCACCCTCACCCTCACCATCACCCCTCACCCCTCACCATCACCCCTCCACCATCACCCCTCACCCTCACACCCCACCATCACCTCTCACCCCCCATCACCCTCACCATCACCCTCACCATCACCCCTCACCATCACCCCTCACCATCACACCCACCATCACCCCTCACCATCACACCCCACCATCACCTCACCATCACACCCCACCATCACATCTCACCCCCACCATCCCCTCACCCCATCACCCCTCACCATCACCCCTCCCCACCACATCCCACCCCCCACCATCACCCTCACCATCACCCCCCACCATCACCCCTCACCATCACCCCTCACCATCACCCCCCACCATCACCCCTCACCATCACCCCTCACCATCACACCCCCCCACCATAACCCCTCACCATCACCCTCTCCATCACACCCACCATAACCCCTCACCATCACCCCACCATCACCCCTCCACCATCACCCCTCACCATCACCCCTCACCATCACACCCCACCATCACCTCTCACCCCCCCACCATCACCCCTCACCATCACCCCCACCATCACCCCCCACCATCACCCCCCACCATCACCCCTCACCATCACCCCTCACCATCACACCCCCACCATCACATCTCACCCCCCACCATCACCCTCACCATCACACCTCACCATCACCCCTCACCATCACCCCTCACTATCACCCCTCACCATCACCCCTCACCATCACCCCCACCATCACCCCACCCATCACCCCCCACCATCACCCCTCACCCCTCACTATCACCCCTCCACCATCACCCCTCACCATCACACCCACCATCACCCCTCACCATCACCTCACCATCACCTTCACCCCTCACCATCACCCCTCCACCATCACCCTCACCATCACACCCCACCATCACCCCCTCACCATCACCCCTCACCATCACCCCCACCATCACCCCCTCCCACCATCACCCCTCACCCATCACCCCCACCATCACCCCTCGATCACCCCTCACCATCACCCCTCACCATCACCCTCACCATCACCCCCACCATCACCCTCACCCCCCACCATCACCCCTCACCCCCTCACCATCACCCCTCACCCCTCACCATCACCCCTCACCATCACCCCTCACCCCTCACCATCACCCCTCACCATCACCCCTCCTCACCCCTCCCTCACCCCTCCACCATCACCCCTCACCCCTCCTCCATCACCCCTCACCCCCACCATCACCCCCACCATCACCCCACCATCACCCCTCACCATCACCCCTCCACCATCCCCCCACCATCACCCCTCACCCCTCACCATCACCCCTCCTGCCATCACACCCCCCCCACCCTCCTCAGGCGTAGGTATCTTCTTATTTATTTTTTTCCCAGTAGGTTCTTGGAGGCGCCATTGATCTTGACGTAACGGATATCAATGTCTGGGAAATAAAACCTTTCTACAGCAGACCAGAAGGGAAAATAGGTGTGTGTGTGTGTGTGTGTGTGTGTGTGTGTGTGTGTGTGTGTGTACATCCTGGGGAAAATAGGTGTGTGTGTGTGTGTGTGTGTGTGTGTGTGTGTGTCTGTACGTCCTGAGGGAAAATAGGTGTGTGTGTGTGTGTGTGTGTGTGTGTGTGTCTGTACGTCCTGAGGGAAATAGGTGTGTGTGTGTGTGTGTGTGTGTGTGTGTGTGTGTGTGTGTGTGTGTGTGTACATCTGAGGGGAAAATAGGGTGTGTGTGTGTGTGTGTGTGTGTGTGTGTGTGTGTGTGTGTACATCCTGAGGGGAAAATAGGTGTGTGTGTGTGTGTGTGTGTGTGTGTGTGTGTCTGTACGTCCTGAGGAAAATAGGTGTGTGTGTGTGTGTGTGTGTGTGTGTGTACGTCCTGAGGGGAAATAGGTGTTGTGTGTGTGTGTGTGTGTGTGTGTGTGTGTGTGTGTGTCTGTCTGTACGTCCGGAGGGAAAATAGGTGTGTGTGTGTGTGTGTGTGTGTGTGTGTCTGTACGTCTGAGGGAAAATAGGTGTGTGTGTGTATGTGTGTGTGTGTGTGTGTGTGTGTCTGTACATCCTGAGGGAAAATAGGTGTGTGTGTGTGTGTGTGTGTGTGTGTGTGTGTGTGTGTGTGTGTGTGTGTGTGTGTGTGTTTGTGTCTGTGTGCGTCCTGGGGAAAATAGGTGTGTGTGTGTGTGTGTGTGCGTGTGTCTGTGCGTCCTGAGGGAAAATAGGTGTGTGTGTGTGTGTGTGTGTGTGTGTGTGTGTGTGTGTGTGTGTGTGTGTGTGTGTGTTTGTGTCTGTGTCTGTGCGTCCTGAGGGAAAATAGGTGTGTGTGTGTGTGTGTGTGTGTGTCTGTGCGTCCTGAGGGGAAAATAGGTGTGTGTGTGTGTGTGTGTGTGTGTGTGTGTGTGTGTTTGTGTCTGTCGTCCTGAGGGAAAATAGGTGTGTGTGTGTGTGCGTGTGTTCTGTGTCTGTGGCGTCCTGGGGAAAATAGGGTGTGTGTGTGTGTGTGTGTGTGTGTGTGTGTGTGTTTGTGTCTGTACGTCCTGGGGAAAATAGGTGTGTGTGTGTGCGTGTGTCTGTGTCTGTGCGTCCTGAGGGGAATAGGTGTGTGTGTGTATGTGTGTGTGTATATATGTGTGTCTGTGTGTGTACGTCCAGAGGAAAATAGGTGTGTGTGTGTATGTGTGTGTGTGTGTGTGTATATGTGTGTCTGTGTGTGTGTGTACGTCCAGAGGGAAAATAGGTGTGTGTGTGTGTGTGTGTGTGTGTGTGTACATCCTGAGGGGAAAATAGGTGTGTGTGTGTGTGTGTGTGTGTGTGTGTCTGTACGTCCTGAGGGGAAAATGGGTGTGTGTGTGTGTGTGTGTGTGTGTGTGTGTGTGTGTGTCTGTACGTCCTGAGGGAAAATAGGTGTGTGTGTGTGTGTGTGTGTGTGTGTCTGTACGCCCGGAGAAATGAGTGTGTGTGTGTGTGTATGTGTGTGTGTGTGTGTGTGTGTCTGTTTACGTCCTGAGGGAAAATAGGTGTGTGTGTGTGTATGTGTGTGTGTGTGTGTGTGTGTGTGTGTGTGTCTGTGTACATCCTGAGGGAAAATGGGTGTGTGTGTGTGTGTGTGTGTGTGTGTGTGTGTGTGTGTGTGTGTGTGTTTGTGTCTGTGTCTGTGCGTCCTGAGGGAAAATAGGGTGTGTGTGTGTGTGTGTGTGTGTGTCTGTGCGTCCTGAGGGGAAAATGGGTGTGTGTGTGTGTGTGTGTGTGTGTGTGTGTGTGTGTGTGTGTGTGTGTTTGTGTCTGTACGTCCTGAGGAAATAGGTGTGTGTGTGTGTGCGTGTGTCTGTGTCTGTGCGTGGGAAATGGGTGTGTGTGTGTGTGTGTGTGTGTGTGTTTGTGTCTGTACGTCCTGAGGGGAAAATAGGTGTGTGTGTGCGTGTGTCTGTGTCTGTGCGTCCTGGGGAAAATGGTGTGTGTGTGTGTGTGTGTGTGTGTGTGTGTGTGTCTGTGTCTGTACGTCCTGAGGGAAAATAGGTGTGTGTGTGTGTGTGTGTCCTGAGGGGAAAATAGGTGTGTGTGTGTGTGTGTGTGTGTGTGTGTGTGTGTGTGTATTTGTGTCTATACGTCCTGGGGAAAATAGGTGTGTGTGTGTGTGTGTGTGTGTGTGTGTGTGTCTGAGGGAAAATAGGTGTGTGTGTGTGTGTGTGTGTGTGTATATTTTTCCTGTGTTATTTCCTGATGATAACCATTTTTCTCACGTTTTTCCGCTAAGATTATTTTTCCCTAAATTGCTGTATGTTTTCCTTTTACCTAAATTGAAATTGTCTCGTGTACGGCAGGTGGTGGTCTCGTGTACGGCAGGTGGTGGTCTCGTGTACGGCAGGTGGTGGTCTCGTGTACGGCAGGTGGTGGTCTCGTGTACGGCGATTGGTGGTCTCTGTACGGCAGGTGGTGGTCTGTGTCGGCGGTGGTGGTCTCGTGTACGGCAGGTGGTGGTCTCGTGTACGGCAGGTGGTGGTCTCTGTACGGCAGGTGGTGGTCTCGTGTGCGGCAGTGGTGGTCTCGTGTACGGCAGTGGTGGTCTCGTGTGTACGGCAGTGGTGGTCTCGTGTACGGCAGTGGTGGTCTCGTGTACGGCGGTGGTGGTCTCGTGTATGCGGCAGTGGTGGTCTCGTGTACGGCGAGTGGTGGTCGTGTACGGCGGGTGGTGGTCTCGTGTACGGCGAGTGGTGGTCTCGTGTACGGCAGTGGTGGTCTCGTGACTGCGGCAGTGGTGGTCTCGTGTTGGCGGGTGGTGGTCTCGTGTACGGCGAGTGGTGGTCTCGTGTACGGCAGTGGTGGTCTCGTGTACGGCGGTGGTGGTCTCGTGTACGGCAGGTGGTGGTCTCGTGTACGGCGGTGGTGGTCTCGTGTACGGCGGGTGGTGGTCTCGTAATGAGTGGTGGTCTGTGTATGGCAGGAGTGGTGGTCTTGTGTACGGGGTGGTGGTCTCGTGATTATGAGTGGTGGTCTGTGTAGAGGTGATGGTGGGTGTCTCTGAGTGTGGTCCTGTGTAATGGCAGGTGTGGTCTCGTGTACGGCGGTGGTGGTCTGTGATGGGTGGTGTCCTGTGGGGTGGTGGTCTCTGTAGGTGGTGGTCTACGGTGGTGGTCCTGATGGTGGTTCGTGTACGGCGGGTGGTGGTCTCGTGTACGGCGGGTGGTGGTGGTCTCTGTACGCGGGTGGTGGTCTGTGTACGGCAGGTGGTGGTCTCTGTACCATGAGTGGTGGTCCTGTACGGCGAGTGGTGTCTGCACGGCGAGTGGTGGTCTGTAATGTGAGTGGTGGTCTCGTGTACGGCAGGTGGTGGTCCTGTACGGCAGGTGGTGGTCTCGTGTACGGGTGGTGGTCTGTACGGCGGTGGTGGTCTCGGTAAGGCGGGTGGTGGTCTTGTGTGTGCAGCAGGTGGTGGTCGTGTACGGCGGGTGGTGGTCCTGTACGGCGGGTGGTGGTCTCAGGCGGGTGGTTCGACGGCGGTGGTGGTCCTGTACGGGGTGGTGGTCTTGTGCACGGCAGGTGGTGGTCTCGTGTACGGCGGGTGGTGGTCTTGTGTACGGCGGGTGGTGGTCTCGTACGGCAGGTGGTGGTCCTGTGTACGGCAGGTGGTGGTCTCGTGTACGGCAGGTGGTGGTCTCGTGTACGGCGGTTGGTGGTCCTGTGTACGGCGGGTGGTGGTCTCTGTGTACGGCGGGTGGTGGTCTCGTGTACGGCAGGTGGTGGTCTGTGTACGACAGGTGGGTGGTCCTGTGTACGGCGGGTGGTGGTCGTGTACGGCGGGTGGTGGTCCTGTGCATGGGGTGGTGGTCTGACGGGGTGGTTCCTGTGTACGGCAGGTGGTGGTCTGCATTTATGGTGGTCCTGTGTACGGCGGGTGGTGGTCTCTGTGTACGGCAGGTGGTGGTCTCGTGTACGGCGGGTGGTGGTCCTGTACATGGGTGGTGGTCTTGTAGGGGTGGGGCATGGCAGGTGGTTCTGTACGGGAGGAGGAGGAGGAGAGGAGGAAGGAGGACGGAGGAGGAGGAAGATGAGGAAGAGGACGGAGGAGGAGGAAGAGGGAGGAGGACGGAGAGGGAGGAGGAGAAGATGAGGAAGAGGGACGGAAGAGGAGGAAGAGAGGAGGAGAGGAGGAGAGGAGGGAAGAGGACGGAGGAGGAGGAAGAGGAGGAGGACGGAGAGGGGAGGAGGAAGATGAGGAAGAGGACGGAAGAGGAGGAAGAGGGGAGGAGGAAGAGGACGGGAAGAGGGGAGGAGAGGAGGAGAGGAGGAGGAGAGGAGGAAGAGGATGGAGGAGGGAGGAAGATGAGGAAGAGGACAAGAGAGGAAGAGGAGGAGGAAGAGGATGGAAGAGAGGGAGAGGGAGGGAGGAGGGAGGAGAGGGAGAAGAGATGGGAGGAGGAGGGAAGAGGAGGAAGAGGATGGAGGAGAGGAGAAGAGGAGGAGGAGGAGAGGGAGGAGGAGGAAGATGAGGAAGAGGATGGAGAAGAGGAGGAAGAGGAGGAGGAGGAGGAAGGAGGAGGAGGGAGGAAGGAGGAGGAGGAGAGAGGAGGAGAGAGGAGAAGAGATGGAGGAGGAAGAGGAGGGGAGGAAGAGGAGGGAGGGAGGGAGAGAGGAAGAGGGATGGAGGAGAGGGAAGAGGAGGGAGGAGGAGAAGAGAGGAGGGGAGGGAGGAGGATGGAGAGGGGAGGAGAAAGGAGGAGGGAGAGGGAGGAGGGGAAGGACAAATTAGGGACTATAAGGAAGGTGGGGTGAGGGGTGGGAGGGGGAGGGGGAGAGGGGAGGTGAGGGGAGAGGGAGGAGGGGGGAGGGAGAGGGAGGTAGGGGAGAGGGAGGGGAGGGAGAGGGAGGGGTGAGGGAGGGGAGAGGGGAGGGGTGAGGGGTAGGGGAGGGTGAGGGGGAGGTGAGGGTGAGGGGTGGAGGGGGAGGGGTGAGGGAGAGGGGAGGTGAGAGGTGGGGTGGGGGAGGGGTGAGGGGAGGGGAGGGTGGGAGGTGAGGGTGGGGAGGGAGGGGTGAGGGGTGGGAGGGGAGGTGAGGTGGGGAGAGGGAGGGGGGGGTGAGGGGTGAGGGTGGGGAGGGAGGGGGAGGGAGGGGAGGGTGAGGGGAGGTGGGGGAGGGGGAGGGGAGGGTGAGGGGAGGAGAGGGTGGGGAGGGGTGAGGGAGAGGGGAGGGAGGGTGAGGGAGAGGGAGGGGAGGGGTGAGGGGTGAGGGGAGGGGAGGGGTGGGAGGGGGAGGGAGGGAGGGGAGGGTGAGGAGAGGGAGAGGAGAGAGGAGGAGAGGGGAGGGAGAGAAGTAATCGTCGCTACTTCTGGACCGCCTCTTTGGTTAGGAGGAAGTAGAAGGGGGAAGGGAGGAGGGAAGGGGTTAGAGGGAGGGGGAGAGGGGGAGGTAGAGGTAGGGAGGAGGTAGGAGGGAGGGGGGAGGAGGTAGAGGGAGGGGAGGGGAGCCACGAGTGTTGAGCCAGTAGTGCCAGGTGGTGCCACAGTTTACACAGTGCCTCGTCCTGGGTAAAGTTTACACTGGGAGGCGGGTGGCGGAGGTCGAGGCACTACATCACCTGGGAATTTACAATTTATTTACGACACGCGTCACCCCCACACTTAAGATTTACACCAATTGATTTACAGATTAACACCATTGATTTACAGATTTACACCAATGATTTACAGATTTAAAGTGTTCCTAATGTTATTTACATTGTGTCCAGCTAGTCGTATTTACAGTTTGTCTTTTGGTTTACATTGGCTTATTCATCTCCCTATTCTGATTTACAGATGTTGACAAGGTGAGTAGCACGCACACACACACACACACACACACACACACACACACACACTAAAAAATCATCAACAATGTACATAACAGCCTTTCCCTGGATGGCATAATGGAGTCCTGGATGGCATACACCCCCTGTCACCTGTAAGGCATACCTCCCCTGTCACCTAGAAGGCATGCCTCCCCTGTCCTTTGGATGGCATGCCTACCTTGTCACCTGGATGGCATGCCTACCCTGTCCCCTGTATGGCATGCCTACCCTGTCCCCGGTATGGCATACCTACCCTGTCCCTGGCGGCATTTTCCCATATTCTCTGTATGGCATGCCTACCCTGTTCCCTGGATACACCTACCCTGTCACCTGTATGGCATATGCTTTTGTCCTTGGATGGCATTGCTTCTGTCACCTGGATGGCATGCCTACCCTGTCCCTGTATGGCATGCCTCCCTTGTCCCCAGTGTGGCATACCCCCTGTCACCTGGATGGCATGCCTCCCTGTCACCCGTATGGCATGCTCCCTATCCGTGGCATGCTTCCCCATCTGGATGGCATGCCTACACTGTCCCCTGTATGGCATGCCTTTGGCATGCCACCTGGATGGCATACCCTCCCCTGGCACGGCATTCCTTCCCTGTCCCCTGCGTTGTGCGCCTCCCTATCCCAGCTGGCGATGCCTACACTGTCCCCTGAATGGCATGCCTACCCGTCCCCTGTATGGCATACCCCTGTCCCCTTGTATGGCATGCCTCCCTGTCCCCTGGATGGCATGCCTACACCGTTCCCCGAATGGCATGCCTTCGTTCCAGTGTATGGCATGCCTTCCATGTCCCCGGGATGGCAGCCCCCTGTCCTGGATGGCATGCCTGCCCTGTCACCAGTATGGCATGCCCCCTGTCACCTGGTTGGCATGCCTCCCCGTCACCTGGTTGGCATGCCTCCTCTGTCACCTGGATGGCATGCCCCCTATTCCCTGTATGGCATGCACCGCCCGGCGGCATGCCTACCCCTGTCCGTGGATGGCATGCCTACCCTGTCATGGATGGCATGCCTCCCTGTCACCTGGATGGCATGCCTCCCCGTCACCTGGATGGCATGCCTCCTGTCTCCTGGATGGCATGCCTCCCTTGTCAGGCATGCCTACTCCTGTCTCCTGGATGGCATGCCTACCCTGTCACCTGGATGGCATCCCTCTGTCACCGTATGGCATGCCCCCGTCCCCCCAGCGGTATTTCGGCACCCCTGTCCCCTGGATGGCATGCCTACCCCTGTCACCCGGATGACATGCCCCTGTCCCCTGTATGGCATGCCTACCCTGTCACCTGGATGACATGCCTCCCCTGTCCCGTATGCATGCCCCTTGTCCCTGTATGGCATGCCTACCCTGTCCCCGGATGGCATGCCTACCCTGTCACCTGGGATGACATGTCTCCCCGTCCCCGTATGGCATGCGCCTCTGTCTTCTGTATGGCATGCCTACCCTGTCCCTGGATGGCATGCCCTCCTGTCACCGATACATGTCTCCTCTGTCTCTGTATGGCATGCCTACCCTGTCCCCTTGCATGCGCCCCTGTCCTCTGTATGGCATGCCTCCCTGTCCCCGGATGGCATGCCTGTCCCCTGTATGGCATGCCTCCTCTGTCCTCTGTATGTGGCATGCCTACCCTGTCCCCTGTGGCGGCATGCCTCCCCTGTCTCTGTATGGCATATCCCAGCCTGTCCCCGGATGGCATGCCTACCGTGTCACCTGGATGACATGTCTCCCCGTCTCTGTGTATGGCTTCTGTCCCCGGAGGCATGCCACCCTGTCACCTGATGACATGTCTCGCCGCCTGGATGACATGCCTCCCCTGTATGGCATGCCCTGTCCCCGGATAGCATGCCTACCCCGGATGGCATGCCCCCTGTCACCTGGATGGCATACCCCGTCCCCTGTATGGCATGCCTCCCGTCACCCGGATGGCTACCTCCTCGTGGGGCATGCCCCTCTGTCACCTGGATGGCAGCCCCTTGTCCCGGATGGCATGCCCCGTCACCTGGATGGCATACCCTTCCCGATGCAGTCCCCGTCCCTGATGGCATGCCTCGTCACCTGGATGATATGCCTCGTCCCTGATGGCATGCCTCTCTGCGGATGACATGCCTCCCCTGTCACCTGGATGACATGTCCCCTGTGTCTGGATGGCATGCCTCTGTCACCTGGATGACATGTCTCCCTGTCCCCTGTATGGCATGCCTCTGTCCTCTGTATGGCATACCTAGCCTGTCCCCTGGATGACATGCCTACCCTGTCACCTGGATGACATGTCTCCCCTGTCCCTCTGGTATGGCATGCCTACCCTGTCCCCTGATGGCATGCCCACCCTGTCACCTGGATGACATGTCTCCCCTGTCACCTGGATGACATGCCCTGTATGGCATGCCTCCTGTCCCTGGATAGCAGCCTCCCTCCTGGATGGCATGCCTCCCCTGTCACCTGATGGCATACTCTGTCCCCTGTATGGCATGCTCCTGTCCCCTGGATGGCATGCCTCCCTTGTCCCCTGTATGGCATGCCTACCCTGTTCCTGGATGGCATGCCTCACCTCTGTCACCTGGATGGACATGTCTCCCTGTCCTGGTATGGCATGCCTCTGTCTTCTGTATGGCATGCCTACCCTGGTCCCCTGGATGGCATGCCTACCCTGTCACCCAGGATGACATGTCCCTGTCCCCTGTATGGCATGCCTCTGTCCCTGGATGGCATGCCTACCCTGTCACCTGGATGACATGTCCTGTCCCCTGTATGGCATGCCTCCCTCTGTCCTCTGTATGGCATACCTAGCCTGCTGTCCCCTGGATGACATGCCTGCGGTCACCTGGATGACATGTCTCCCTGTCTTCTGTATGGCATGCCTACCCTGTCCCCAGGATGGCATGCCTACCTTGTCACCTGGATGACATGTCTCCTGTCACCTGGATGACATGCCCCCCTGTATGGCATGCTCCCTGTCCCTGATAGCATGCCTACCCTCCCCTGATGGCATGCCTCCCCTGTCACCTGGATGGCATACCTCCCTGTCCCCTGTATGGCATGCCTCCCTGTTCCTGGATGGCATGCCTCCCTTTGTCCCCTGTATGGCATGCCTACCCTGTCCCCTGGATGGCATGCCTACCCTGTCACCTGGATGACATGTCTCCTGTCCCCTGTATGGCATGCCTCCTCTGTCCCTCTGTATGGCATGCCTACCCTGTCCCTGGATGGCATGCCTACCCTGTCACCTGGATGATGTCTCCTGTCCCCTGTATGGCATGCCTCCTGTCCCTCTGTGTGGCATACCTACCCTGTCCCCTGTATGGCATGCCTCCCATGTTCCCTGTGTATGGCATGCCTACCTGTTCCCTGATGGCATGCCTACCCTGTCACCTGTATGGCATATCCCTGTCCCCTGGATGACATGCCTCCCTTGTCCCCTGTATGGCATGCTTCCCATGTTCCTGTATGGCATGCCTACCCTGTTCCCTGGATGGCATGCTTACCCTGTCACCTGTATGGCATACCTCCCCTGTCCCCTGTATGGCATGCTTCCCTTGTCCCTTGGATGGCATGCTTCCCCTGTCACCTGGATGGCATGCCTACCCTGTCCCCTGTATGGCATGCCTCCTGTCCCCGGGATGGCATGCTCCTGTCCCCTGTATGGCATGCCTCTCCTGTCACCTGTATGGCATGCCTTCCCTTCTCCCTGGAAGGCATTCCTCTGTCCCTCGTATGGCATGCCTCCCCATTCCCTGGATGGCATGCCTACACTGTCCCTGAATGGCATGCCTACCCTGTCACCTGGATGGCATACCTCCTGTCCCAGGCGGCGCTTACCCTGTCACCTGGATGGCATACCCCTGTCCCCTGTATGGCATGCCTTCCTTGTCCCCTGTATGGCATGCCTCCCTATCCCCTGTATGGTATGCCTCCCTATCCCAAGGATGGCATGCCTACACTGTCCCTGAATGGCATGCCTACTGTCACCTGGATATACTCCCTGTCCTCGTATGGCATGCCTCCCCTATCCCCTGGATGGCATGCCTACACTGTCCCCTGAATGGCATGCTTCCCCTGTCCAGTGTATGGCATGCCTTCCATGTCCCCTGGATGGCATGCCTCCCCTGTCACTTGGATGGCATGCCTGCCCTGTCACCGGTATGGCATGCCTCCCCTGTCACCTGGTTGGCATGCCTCCCCTGTCACCTGGATGGCATGCTCCCTGTCACCTGGATGGCATACCTCCCCTGTCACCTGGATGCACTCTGTCACCTGTATGGCATGCATCCCCTTCCTCTGTATGGCATGCCTACCCTGTCACCTGGATGACATGCCTCCCTCCCCCTGTATGGCATGCCTCTGTCCCTGTATGGCATGCCCCTTGTCCCTGTATGGCATGCCTACCCTGTCCCTGGATGGCATGCCTACCCCTGTCACCTGGATGACATGCTGTCTCTGTTATGGCATGCCTCCTGTCCTCTGTATGGCATGCCTACCCTGTCCCCTGAATGGCATGCTCACCCCTGTCACCTGGATGACATGTCCCCTGTCCCCTGTATGGCATGCCCCCTGTCCTCATGGCATACCTAGCCTGTCCCCTGGATGACATGCCTACCGTGTCACCTGGATGACATGTCTCTGTCCTCTGTGTATGCCTACCCTGTCCCCTGATGGCATGCCTACCCTGTCACCTGGATGACATGTCTCCCCTGTCACCTGATGACATGCCTCTGTATGGCATGCCTCCCTGTCCCTGATAGCATGCTCACCCTTCCCTGGATGGCATGCCTCCCTGTCACCTGGATGGCATACTCCCTGTCCCCTGTATGGCATGCCTCCCTGTCTCCTGGATGGCATGCCCCTTGTCCCCTGTATGGCATGCCTACCCTGTCCCCTGATGGCATGCCTACCCTGTCACCTGGATGACATGTCTCTGTCCCCTGTATGGCATGCCCTGTCCTCTGTATGGCATGCCTACCCTGTCACCTGGATGGCATGCCTACCCCTGTCACCTGGATGACATGCTCCCCCTGTCCTCTGTATGGCATGCCCACCCTGTCCCCTGGATGGCATGCCTACCCTGTCACCTGATGACGTTCTGTCCTCTGTATGGCATGCCCACTTGTCCCCTGATGGTCAGCCTACCCTGTCACCTGATGACATGTCTCCCCTGTCCCCTGTATGGCATGCCTCCTCTGTCCTCTGTATGGCATGCCTACCCTGTCCCTGGATGGCATGCCTACCCTGTCACCTGATGACATGTCTCCCCTGTCCTGTATGGCATGCCTACCCTGTCCCCTGGATGGCATGTCCTACCCTGTCACCTGGATGACATGTCTCCCCTGTCCCTGTATGGCATGCCCTCTGTCCTCTGTATGGCATGCCTACCCTGTCCCCTGGATGACATGTCCCCTGTCCCTCTGCATGGCATGCCTACCTGTCCCCTGGATGGCATGCCACCCTGTCACCTGGATGACATGTCTCCCTGTCCCTGTATGGCATGCCTCTGTCCTCTGTATGGCATGCCTACCCTGTCACCTGGATGACATGCCTACTGTGTCACCTGGATGACATGTCTCCCTGTCCTCTGTATGGATGCCTACCCTGTCCCTGGATGGCATGCCTACCCTGTCACCTGGATGACATGTCTCCTGTCACCTGGATGACATGCCTCCCCTGTATGGCATGCCCCCTGTCCCCTGGATAGCATGCCCTCCCCCAGGCATGCCCCTGTCACCTGGATGGCATACCTCCCTGTCCCCTGTATGGCATGCCTCCTCTGTCCCCTGTATGGCATGCCTACTCCTGTCACCTGATGGCATACCTCCTGTCCCCTGTATGGCATGCCTCCCTGTCCCCGATAGCATGCTCATCTTCCCTGATGGCATGCCTCCCCTGTCACCTGGATGGCATACCTCCTGTCCCCTGTATGGCATGCCTCCTGTCTCCTGGATGGCATGCTCTGTCCCTGTATGGCATGCCTACCCTGTCCCTGGATGGCATGCCTACCCTGTCACCTGGATGACATGTCTCCTGTCCCCTGTATGGCATGCCCCCCTGTCCTCTGTATGGCATACCTAGCCTGTCCCCTGGATGACATGCCTACCGTGTCACCTGGATGACATGTCTCCCCTGTCTCTGTATGGCATGCCTACCCTGTCCCCTGATGGCATGCCTACCTGTCACCTGATGACATGTCTCCCCTGTCACCTGGATGACATGCTCCCCTGTATGGCATGCCTCCCCTGTCCCCTGGATAGCATGCCTACCTCTCCCCTGAAGGCATGCTCCCCTGTCACCTGGATGGCATACCT